AATTTTTAGAAGTTCCAATTGACCACATACATGGAGAGTAATTGCGAGGACAAATGTATCGTTGCCTTTAGAAATAAATTACATTTTTGCAATAAAGTAGTTTATATTGAAAGTTTTATAATAATAATAAAATCAATAATCTGTTGCAAGAGTGACGTAAAAAAATCAAAACATCGCATTTCAATTGTAAAATAGTTGCGTCAGGCATTAAAAAAAACATTTATTAAAAAAGCATATAAACTTCAATATTTAATACCGATAAAAATAATAAGTATTTTATTTAATTAAACATTAAGTTTAGTTTGTATATAGAGAACGTAGAGAGTGAAAATCGGTGAAAGGATAGAGGAGGGAATGGACCGAGTGGAGGGCGTAGAGAAGAAAGCGGAGGGGAGAGAGCGGAGAGAGGTAATAAAAAGGCAGAGAGTAGAGTAAGGAGAGCAGAGAGAGGACGAAAATTTGGCGTGGATGAAGAACTAGAATGACGAGAAAGAGGTAGAGAGAGTGGCAGACAAGGTCAGCAAGAGGAAGGGGAAAGTACTAATAAAGCGAGGGTGAAGAGAGGCGAGAGAGTTATAGCAAGACAGGTAGGGGAAGAGAAGAGAGGAGGCGCCGCGCGATGTGAGCTGAGAAAGAGATCGGTCGCCGCGGGGCGGGGGTGTGAATAGTTGAGAAGGAGAAGAGACGAGAGAGAAAAGGGGAAGGCATCTGACAGGGTGAGAGGGACGGTGGTGAAGAAAGGAAAAGGCGAAGAAAACGAAGAAAAAGAGGAGGAAGAGGGTGACAATAGGAGCGGCTGGGTGGAGGAGGTGGAGGGAAATGAAAGAAGAGAAAGACGAGTAGGACAGGAAGGAAAAGAGGAAGAGAAATAGGGTTAGGGAAGAAGTAGGTCTGAAAGAAGGCGGAAGAAGGGCGGAAGGGAAGAGAGGAGGGAAAGGGAGAAAGGCTGCGAGGAGTTGGGGTGGAGAGGGTTGACAGAGCGGTTTGTAAGTTAATTTTTGAGTTTCAGAAGGAGGCGATGAATAGGAGAAAGAAGGGATAAAGAGAGGAGGTGGAGAGGAGTAGGAGTAGTAGGGGCAAACCAAGGATAGCAGAGGAAGGGGGAAGGAGCACAAAAAAGAATCGGAGGGAAAGGCTAGGGGAGGGGGAGAGGACGAGGGTGCGGGTTCGAGGGGTGAGAAGGTACCAAAATGTAAAGGATCGCTGACGGCCAGGACGGGCATAAGGGTGTTATTAATTTTTTGTGAGGGGTTTGGGATCGTTCCCCGATTAAAAACGCTTTTGTAAATCTTAAGGAGAAACAAATAAACATATACAAGTTTAGTTTGTATATGATAATAGTTAATAAAACAGCTGAAAATAGAGATAAAAAAATTAGGATTCTTGTTAATACATTTTATAAAAAGTAAAATTTTTAAAAATTAATATTTTATAATTCATGCAAATTTCAAATAGTAACGATTAGCTATTTACCACAATTACTGGTAGCAGTAAGTACTAGTCCCATATATTGTAACATACAGATCAACATGTATAAACTCGTAGATACATGCACCTCCCCTAAAAATGTTACGGCCACGGGAAATTCCGATATGTCATTGATGGTTACATTAACTTGAACTTCCGTATCGCCTGTTATCATAGGTATCATAGGTAACAGTATAAAAGTTGTCGAAGCAACATAAGCCATAGATAAGATACTAAAGCACATAATCCTTCCCATATAAGCGTGCCGCCGCATGATCGTGCGTTTCTCCTCGGTGTCTATCGTGAGATAATCGTCCACAGCAGAAGAGAAATTGCGAGTCAAATTCTTGGCATATAAGCGGAAGGACACTATCTTTGATAGACCAAGAATGATGCTGATTACAACTTCAAAATTATCGACCTGTACGTACGCATTGCCACTACCGAAATTGATTTCGAGAAATATCATGATCATCCACGCGGTCTACACAAACAGGAAGAATTGTTTATTATAAAGTTCTATCGCTATTTCTCGTTTTCTGCTACACTGAACGCCTCACTTGAACTGACGAACTTGATATATCGAAAATACGAGTGGCAGATAAATTTTATCGCGATATCTAATATGAAAATTGAGAACGTACCAAAATGAAGCAGTACACGATAGAACGGACTAAGGAAAATGTATTATATTTTTGCAAAGGCCAAATGCCCATTGGCAGAGTGAACATTTTAAAGGGAGTAAAAGCGTACGCTATATCGGCATTCCATGACATTATAACACAGTCACGTAGAGCTGTACGTTGCACGATACTCAATAATGCCGCGCGGTCTTTGTCTATAAGACGAGTCGATCATCGGCGATGGTTTGCTTTCATATTTTATTTAATATTTTACGCAATTTAACATTTACCATGTAAATGTAACATTTGCTAACGTACCATGTTATTTTTCAAAACACAGTTATTTGATACACAAGCTGAGAGGGACAATTTTTTGTATGAAAGATGAATATAGCATAGACCGAATGAGTGGGGTGTTCCATTTTTCTTTCGAGACAGCGACTTCAGTTATCATTTGATCGTGTTGCAATACACTTTATTTCAATCCATCTGTTTATGAAAGAAAAGTTGCTAGTGTAGTGCTAATATTTTTTTTTCTTGTTCGACAGTTATCAAATTGTATGCAACAACACATTTTTGCAATCGCGAGTCACGCATTGCTGAACTTCTTAAAATAATCTGTCAATGTGATGTACCGATTGTACAATACGTTTATTGATATAACAAAGAAAGCAATTTTATTTATATAAAGTTAAAATATTCAATTCTAGACATATGGTGTTTAACAGAATTTCTTATAAAATGATATTGCCTACGTGTGTGCAATGTTATCTTTTCGAGTTTTTCTCCCAACAAATACCTACGCCTTACGTGTCCACCATCACCCGTAGGACGGATATGTACGAGAGCGAGCTTTTTAATATGGTCATAAAAGACTTGATGTTTACGACGAAAAATTTACCAGCTAGCAACTGAACAGGTTCTTGCGACCGTATAATGACGAACACTACATTTCTCATTAATTTTAATGGAAAGTTGTACCAACTGCAGCTGTAGATCGAGTCCGCAATTTCTTCCATTTGACACTTCAAATAATCGCCCACAATACTATAGACAAACAATTGTAACATTAGACCGCCTAACACTGATGTCGTTTTAATTATCATTACTACGTCATGTGTTTTTAATGCCAAGATAAACTGGAAACCTAAAAAATACACAATTACACTGTATGTACAAGTCTCATAGGCATTACAAGTACACAAATTTTGCAAGCTTTATCGAACAGTCTTGTTAATAACCCTCCGTCAGCAATTATTTTTTTACTAACGCCGTAAGAAAGCTGGAGCCTTTAATTCATGTTTTATGTTCTAGGCTTTCAAAAAATCCAAAAAAAATTTTTGAGTTACTTGTCAACATCTCTGTTACAATATCCAATAGGTTTAAAGACAAATGTGAAACCTAATTGTTTATACAAAGCGAAATTTAAACACAAATGGGAAAAAATTGAAACTTGTTTAGTTTAAAAATTTATAACTTTGCAACAAATGAATATTAAGAAAAATGATTGTAGAGTATTGTAGCTATGACCTTTTAAAAGAGCGTAATCTTATTTGGATCGACTCCAAAAAGTATAATTATTTTTACAAATAAAAATGATGAAATTTTAGAGAGATTTATTCGTTACAGAGAAAAATAAAATTGACTTTTTTTTGCTTAGAAATAAATTTTTATTGTAATAAATTGTTTGTAATAATATAAAATATCATTACAAATATAAAAAAAAATTATAAAAAAAAGTAAAAAAGTATTGTATTGTTCGACGTTTTTCTCCATTTTGTAAATAATGCTTTACTACTACTAATGATAAAAGTGCTTTAGATAGCAAAAACTATTAGAAATATATAATAGTAAAAAAAAAACTTTTTTTCACCGGTAAACATTAACGCCTGACATCAACAATCTGGATCATTTAGAGCACAGGCTTAACTTTTCCGGGTCGTTGTTCGAACATGCATTGATGGGAACTAACGTCATCGCGACAGCGAAACCTCTCTACTATTTTGAAGAGGGAGGTACGAAATACTGCCTCCTCTCCACGAAAAAATT